GCCATCCGGGAGTTCCTCCTATAGCCGCCTCCAGGGCGGCTTCAAGAATTAAAATCTACTTCCAACTTTGCAGTAGGTCAAAGTTCCGCCTATCAAAACACTTCCTTAATTATGTTAACCAACAGAAGTTGTGCTCATTAATTTCTTGGTCTATAGGCTTTCTTTTCAGTCTTTATTATCCTTTCCGCAACCTCTTAACGTTTATTTTTAGTTCAGTAAAACAAATACAAGTGACTCCAATTTCTTTTTTATTGCGCAGTTATCAAGCACATCTACGGCCCCTGCTGTGCCCCATCCTTTCGTTTCCCTTTAACGACGGAACTGTAAGGCACTTAGGCAAGGGTACCTTTGTCACTGAGCAGCCATACGAGGAACTCTCACCCCTGAAAGCCATAAGATTAAAACATAATACGTGCGAGGTCAAGACTGACTGGGGCAACCCTTTTAGGATTAGTTTCCTCACTTAAAAATAATCTCAGCTGTTTTATTGGGCCCCGATGTGGGTTACGTCAACGCCATGCTCTAAGTCCAGAGTCTAGACCAGGAAGGTTGTGATTTACAATCGATTAGTCATGCACCACCGACCGCAATAAGGATTACTCGAAGTCTTTTGAAAGTGAGCTGGCTCCTGGATGTACCGAGGATTATCAGTCTTGTAACTATGCCATATGGGTGCATCGCATCTCACTCAGCCCACAGTGTTCTTGAAAAGACTCCAAAATTCTACACTGACCAAACTAGCAAGGCCTGTAAGAAACGCCACTATTGATTTGTTTTACTTGACCAGGGACTACGTAGAGAGTAGGCACCTGAGCAAGTAAATCTTCTGTGTCGTATGCTTGCCAAATCCTTTTCGCGTTGTCTACAATCCGAGGATGGTGGCTGTTGTGTAAGCAATAAAGCAAGCGTTTTTCGGATTAAATGATCAAGAGACGCAGGGTCGAATTCCAAGAGTGCACATTATCAACAGACCTCGAAATATGGTTTTTTTTATCTGTGCGAGAACAAAAAATGTTAAGCAAATAGAAAGCCCTAAAACCAGGTATCATGAACATATAGAATATAGAAGTCTGCTTACACCTCTGTATGCAGAATTTCGTGGATAACCTTGTGGCCGTCCTTATGGCCCTTTTTCAGAATCCTGCATTTCGAAGAGTCTAAGAGTGACTGATATGGGCGCAAATTCAGGGACCCCGCACCTCCAGCATCCTGCGATTAAGGATTCGATTAATTGACAATTTAAGCAAGTGTAGAGCCGTCGAAGTCTGATCCTTTTAATGAGCTGTCTTTGATATGCCCTCGTAACTTCATTGCTAGTCTTTTTCTTCAACTTGGACTATCATTAAATGAATTTAGTACGAAGATGATATTTAACGGGCAAAACCGTCAGGGGGTACTTTTTATAGTTTCAAAAGCCTAAACAGCCCTGCATTATTCAGTCGTGAAAATGCGATTTCTTGGCGTTCGAGAGGTTTATTGTCAGCCTAAGTCATCACGACGCATTCTGAATATGAAAAGGGCTTCCTAAACTGTGGCCAGATCTCCCAGACCTCTCGGCGTAGAAGTTGCCTAAAAGCCTACCTCAAGAAGCTGCCAACAAGAGCTGCGACCAAAAGACCCAAATAACTATAAGCAGGAAAAGTCGGCCATTATCACGGCGTGGAACTATCGGGGCCGCCAATTATCCCCGGAACCCAAAAGGACGGAGGTTAAACAAGTAACAGTGATATGTGGGAGCGATGCAGCCCACAGTCGGTCTTAGTAGACTATGCACCAGATCAGGAGCGGCATATAATGAGGGCTGAGTACATGACATTCCAGTTTCTGGAGATGGATAGACGAACCTATTACCTG